AATTTGACAAGGCATATAGACGACAAGGTTCTGAATAGTGAAGAAAAAAAGCAGAAAAAAACATGCCAACTGCTCTAGATAGAACCCCATTCTAATCCCAGATTATACGTGCCCAGCTAACTCCATCTCCAGCACGCCCTCATCCGCACAGCTGATTCCCCGATAAAAACTCTACGACCGTACAAGTGACGATTTTCATGCTTTTTCGTCCTGCAGCTTCGTTTTTCACTGAAAGGCGGGCCTTGAAGGCGGAGTCTGGAGGCGGAGTCACTGGAGAAAAGGAGGCGTCACTGAACCTATATTTGGTATTATCGAATATGAGATGTTCATACGTTAGTACGCCTAATGATTCCTGAGTAGAGCAACGCGAAACACTTTGAGTGAAATGCTAAGAACACTAGACGAGAAATCCTTCGATATTCAAGTAAGAAGCTCCAAAGGCCACAGCCTCAATGAGGAATCCGAAAATGAAGAAGGTTCCAATATCTCTCTTGACTTTCTCGGCAGCAGCTTGCTGCAATTCGGAACTTCCTACACCACCAGGGAACATCATCCTTCTCGAAAAGGTCTTTAAAAGACGCTATAGCGCCCCTCCCTCACAATTTTTTGCTGCGAAACCGGTACAGGGTTGTTCGCCGCGGTCCACACTACTTCCGACGCCATATATTCAACTTCTACACCTGATCGTGGATCGTACTTTCAATAAAAAAAGAGCGCACGTGGCCTGATCTGTTCGAGAAAATCAAATTTAAGCTTGCTGTTCTTAATTGAGCTCGAGTTGCACAATCACAATAAATAGGTATCTGTTATTTTCTAGGGTGCAATATAGGTAGTTACGAACTATGGTGAAGCTTCACGTTAGATCAAGAAAATTTTTATTCGCAAAAAAACGGCAGGAGAGAAGGTACAGTCACTGTGTAAACACAACAAATGAAAGAGATATTGCATAAGTAGCACCTAGTAGAACGTTCAATTGACGCATTCTCGACCTTCTTCATCAAAAGACCCCTCGAGGTTGATCACACCAACATCCAACCATTGTTCTGGTGTCGGATTGCCATTGTGAATAATGACGGTCTTCGGGATTACGAACTTCAACTTCCGAGAGCACGGCTGAAAATTCTCGTTTAATTTAGTCCATCAGCACTAATCATAGAACATCCATTACTATTGTGCCCATAGGTTCACTGGGAGCATGTCCCTCAGGGGCACGGGCAGAACGACTCCCTGTGCAGAAGTGCAATTGCCAGTTGAGCTAGGAATTTCGGTTACTTTTCTGGCAGATGGTGGAGGCGGTGCAGTAGCAAATGGCACGCTTTCCACGCGCACGATGTGGGGTATAATTCCAGATCGCGTGTCGCCCAGGTACCGCCCACGAAGAAAAAAAAGATGTGAAGGGCTAGTCATCGTGAAAGGCAGATGATCTGCTTTGCCTCCGATTCAGAGAACTATTCCATGTTGTTAGCCCCTGAGGCTCTTCGGTGACTAAGGACCAACAATTTACACATATCTTCAAAAAAGTGGTGATAAAAAATAAAAAGATAAGGTCTCTCGTTGATCAATCCCTTTGCGCGATGCAGCAAGCATTCCCCTTTCATACAGAATCGTAGTGGCTTATTGAATGCGATGTGGCCTATACGACTATGAACTTGCGGGGCCAGCCGATGTACAAGTCAGTGTTTTTATCCTCCCAGACGAATCTGGTACCAATTAACCGTCCCCGGAGAGTGGAACGCTTGGTTGGCCTGGGCGGGAATCGACGTGGGAATTAAAAACGAGCGGTAAGAGCGCCACTTGTTACTACACCACATCGAAGAGTGGTGATATTGTCGAGTAAGGGAAGGTTAAAGAAGTAAGTGGTAAAGTAAACCTGAAATAGGAGAAATTACGATTGTTGTGAGAAGCTTCCTCCCTTCGGGCACTATGACTTGGTACCAGATTCGTCTGGGAGGAGAAGAACACTGATGTGAACGTCCCTGGCTAGGCCAGACCGCATTCATCAAGGGGCTGCGATTCTGATTGGAACTAGAATGCGTACCGTATCCCAAGAGTGATTGAGTGACGGAGGACTTTATACTTTCCTATGGTAAATACTAAATTTAAGGGTTGATGCCAGTTTCCTTGTGGTGCAAGAGGTGTCGCAGTACTGCCATCACTTCAGTCTTGCAGAGCAAGTCCTTCGAATGTGCCTTCCCCTTTCGGAGTCGCCCGTTGATCGCATCTAGTGTTGCTCTTCAACAAAAACTGACAGCCCCTACCACATTTTCAACACTTTTGACTGGGGAATGTGGCAAGAGAATCGCAATTCGCCGCGCCAGTGGGCGTCGCGTGCGACGTCGCGCCCGCTAATGACGACGATTTTAGGTATTGGTCGAGAATAGACAATGTATGACCAAAAATAGACATAAGTGTCTACCATGTCCTTGTCTACATGAAATCCGATGCTCCAATCGAAAGGGTAGTGCAAATTGAGGAAACGTCGCGCCCATTGCCGCGAAGCGGCAATTCACGATTCTCTTGCCCGCCTTCATTTTTGACTGATTCAACCTACCGTGTCCTCATCCAAACATTCGTGCCAAATGTATAGTACAGGGTCAATCGGCGTCAGCTCGCGTGTGGTGCCGGTGAGTTCGAAACGACCCTGCTCATCTGTCCGCTTATCGTCCAGCGTGTCGTCGGGATCGATTCCTGAGCATGATCACTGACTATCTATGCTCTCTCATAACTGAACAACTAGCATAAAGGAATAATTACCGTAGTCGATATCAACAATGCGAACTTTGCTGTGATTCGCTGGCACGGGACCACACCTCAGTGTTCCACGGACTGCCACACCCTGTATGCGCATCGCCCAACAGACTCCCAGGCACAAAAAAGCATAGATCAAGAAGTTTCGCCAAAAAGACATCTGAAACTGATTGGACTGAAGGAAAAGTTATCAAAACAGAAAAGTTCTCTAGAACGCTCGAAGGATGGGGTTGTTTTGCTTCTGCAGCGAGAACCGTATGCTTTCAAGGTCTTATCACTACGTAATAGCGAATTGTACGCGCAGCGATCCGCACTCGAACGATTTCAAATTTCGAAGGAAACATTCACTAGATGGTGACTCTTCGTTTACCTCACATGAATCTACGAGCATGAAGAGGAATAAAAAAATAGACTAAAGAAGGATGCAATGAGGAATAAAACTGGAGGAATAACTCGTAGGATTTCATTACAGTCTCCAGAGTGATCAGTAATGGCGGCGTTGGGGGTTCCTGGCATGGAGTTCGCATTCTTTGGTTGGAGGGAGGGAGTCATAGTTGTCTCTGTCACGAACGCCTTCGATTGCTCATTTTCTTGCCTTTTCCAGTTTTCACCTATACGATGGGGTATAGGTAAGGGGGATGGGTTGTATCAGTGGAGCAAACCTTTAGGGACATGATCGTATTTCACGAACATGTCAGGGCAGGACAATGTGGCAGGCATGAAACATGGCAGGACATGTCCTGAGAGTATTGCTTCACTACTGAAAAGAGGATTTGTAGGAATTGCACCACCAGGAAAGCATGGGCGCACCCCACGCGCATCCATTGCACCCACGCCACTCTCAATTCAAACTTTTTCGTCTTGATTTGATCACTAGTCGTCTTCGCTTCGGACAGTCGTCAGTGAACTCTTGACCGTCGCCAGCCGAGAGTCCAGTCACTCTAACAATCATAAGTATTATACAAAGCAAGCGCTGTTTGTCGACGGGGGGGGGCATTTTGTACTACCATTGCTTCCCTAGTTCCGGTTTACAAATCTCACTCTGGTAAAACTTGTGAACGCTTGTGAAGCTGGAGCAAGATCGTCTAGCCACCATCCTAAAACGTGTCAACTCGAGAAAAGGCTACCTAGATGGATCGGCACATCTATGGAAAGCAGAATGCCCCCCCCCACCCGTCGACAAACTGTGCCTACAAAGCATTCGGCGTCATCAATCCCTCATTTGGATGCGCTACGCAGTAAACTTCTATTCATAATGTGAAGCTTATGGAGATGAACGCTATTTTGCCTGTACAGGACATTCGGGGCAACTGACACACAGGCTCCAAGTCAAGTCTGATACCAATGGTCAGAGGAACAAGAGTCGCGCCAGAACTTCATCTCGCACCACACGTGTGGTTGGCAGTGCCACTTAGCACTAGGCCACTTTCGACGAGTAACCCACTGCTGCTCTTTGCCGAAATTAAGATGTGACGCGTTGAGTGTGCTAGACGAATACAGCACTACGTTACGTTACCTCCTCTTCAGTTCAGGTTATTTGTGCCGCTGCCAAAATTTGCGCTGCAGGCGAGGCGATTCGCACAAGGCCCCGATTCACTCAAAGGCGTTGTACGACATAGTTCGACTGCCTCACTACTTGTCTTGGGGCAAGAAGAAAATATGCCAGACTGGGCAAGACATAAAGTCTTATGCCCAAGTTAGCAAACGAGTTTCACCTTACGTATCAACCCCTCTATTTCCTACGCTACAATAGTTACCAGCTCATAGTGAATCTACTACAGATTGGAGGTATCAGTTAAACCCATAGGGGCTATGGTGGCTGTAGCTGCTGCTGAAAGAATGAAAAGTACGGCTGAATATGCGTTCAAAAGAAATCAAGCCTTCTCAATGATTAATGATTAGTGCGCCTACGTAGTTTATTCCTACGTTTTTCGTCCTCTTAAGCGAATGATTAGAATCTTTGCAATCAAAGTGTACTAGTAGTGCCAAGCGATAAGAGTGAAATAGAGCAGTTTTTCACTTCGATTGTTTTTATAGGTAAACATGTGCCGTAGATGGAAGAGACAAGCGATCGAGACGGCTGGGGCCAGCCGCCGCTCTTATCAGTGCTGATTGACTGCGTCTGGTAAACAACTTTTCTTATCATTGTCAAAATAGCGTAGTGCACCAATATAGGGCCAGGTTCAATCGATTCTCATACTAGCAAACACTCCCACACTGCGAGTAATGCGAGGGAGGGCGCTGTTCGGGTTGGAGGGGGAGGGGGACACTTTTCTTTCGTTCCAGCTTCATTTGTTGCTTTCTTTCAACTAGTAGACATTACAAGACATATAAACGCCTGTGAAGCAGCGAAGCTGAGCGAATGAGCCACTTTGGGCAGAGATTTTACAGGTTCTCACACGGTAGGCTGTACAAGCACTGCTGAGTACCTCTCGGTGCCCCCATCGAGCCAACCTGCGACTAGGGGAATCGCCGTTTGCCAGTGTAAAAACTAGGGCACATCATTGGTTGGAGATTTAAGTCGAGTCCGTATGACCCCCCTCCCTTGTGGAAGTTGTTCGGCCCTCTCTCCTTCATCGAATCGTACCCATGAAACAGGAAACTCGCGAAAAGTCAACCACTACTCCCACCACTCCTAGAAAGGAAAGTAATTACGACTCCCCCTCCCAACAATGAGCAAGTACCCCCCCCTTTTACAACGTCCGTGAAGCGAGAAAAATCAACTATCAAAATAAATTTTCCTCAGCCCAAATACGACCCCCTCCTGGCGGCCAAATACGACCCTCCTGTTGGGGATTCCCCAACAACGATGAGCCTTTGTAAAAACGTACTCGGCCTTCCTGATGTAGGTTTTCGAGAAAAACACGGGACAGAATCCCTGATCAGAAGCAGCGGTCCGTCGTCCTCCACCAGGCTCGTCATGGCGAAAAAAAACACTGGGTACTACGTCGCATCGCTCATAACTCATAGTATGGGTAGAATGGCATTCAATCACTGCGATCGATCGTGAGGAGGACTTCGATTCATGGCGTGTTGTAGAAGTAGATATCGCCTTTACCGGGTTTTGCGATAGCATACAGCAGCTGTTTGCAAGATAGTCAGAGATGCATGTGGAAAGAGAATCATGAGCGACTCCAACTTGAAACTGCGAACAGGAGGAGAGCTTGCACACACAGTCCCAAGCAATATGCAGTACAAGCATTAGCGATCGGCGTCGTCGTATTTGGTCGCTGGGGAGGTGGGGGGGGGGGGAATCTGATCCGATTTTTCTTGTTTCATGGACGCCATAGGTGGGGGTTGTTGTATTTGCTCGTTCTTGGGAAAGGGGTCATATTTGCCTTCTGATGGTGAGAGGAATCTGCAGCGCTAGGAAGAATTTTCCCGGCTGTTGACTTCTCGTAGTTTTCCCGTTCCACATGTGCGGTATACCCCCCGTTCGACAGCAGTTCTCGGGAAAAAGTAGCAAAATTCTCGAGAAATTGCGGAGCTGGAAGTTGTGTTAGAAGTTGGGAAACCTTAAAAAAGTGGTAGATAGGATGGGGAAGTGGGGTTGCATTCTCCTCGTGGTTTTTCCCATAACACATGTATTATACTTATATCCCCTCCTCCTCCTACATCTCGAATCGTATCGGAGGATGGCACTAGGAGGGTCGTATCAAACTACCTTTTTAGGGGGGGGGAATGGTAGGGACTCGACCAAAGTCCCCAACTAATGATGTGCCCTGTATCCAACACGACATTCCCAATTTTGGGAAGCTACGGCACTGCTGCCTTTACAAGAACAGCAACATGTCCTCATATCAGGCCTGTAGATTGGAGTAAAACGATCGGATAAAATTTGAATCCATCACGAGTAATGCACATACAATACTGCAAATCCTTATTTTCTGAGTTAAACTTTTTCCCAAGAAGGTGAGCGCAGGACAGTTGTTCGTTGTGGAACGCCGGCGTGGCCGTATTTCAGTTCGCTGAAGGGAGCAGGGCCGCATTTGGTATGGTGAAAGTTAGTTTGGTAGTTTATTTTCCTTGTTTCACGGGCGCAATTTAAATATTCGAGAGAATTTCAATGAGGAGGGGAGTATTTGTTCGTCCTCGGCAGAGGGGGAGGGGTCAACCAGTCCTGTGTGAAACTGCCGTTTTTCCGAAGCATTGGCTTATCGCGGTTTTTCTTCCCGTTTCTTTGGAAGCTGGAAATACGAGGAAAGTGGTAGGTAGAGGGAGGGTTGTACCAGAGGAGGGAACCAAGAGGTCATATTTTCCAAAAATTCTCCCGCGGCAGGACTGTGTCCGGGTGTGGAATTCCAGGCGAGGTACATAAAAAAGCCATAGTTCATCATCAGCTGCGTGCAACCGAAATGCTGCTGGGCTGTTACAAGGGCTTTGATTACCTATTTTGGTGGGATTTTCTCTGGACACCATTGTTTGCGTCGAATGAAACGGCATTCCTAAACACTTTGAACAAGCAGTGTGACGCCTGCCTTCGAATCATCGTCAGTGAATATTTTGTTTTTTTATTGCCTGATATGTCACTGAAACCAATCTCTGAACGAGCGTCCCAATATTTATTAATAGAAATTAATTTAAATAGGATGATTGAGCAGGAATTGTTGAATGGCGTAGTACATCTGAGGAGCCCTCCATTGTGGAGCCATGTGACCGGCGCCTCGTACTGAAACACGGTACTTTCAGGACTTCATATTTAAAGAGTAGTTCTTGAGCTTTTGACATCAAAATATACCTGTGATGAAAGTAAGTCCTTTGAAGAGAGTTTTGAACCCAGCGATTTGACGGTCGAACTTCCATGGGGTTTTACCGAGTGTTCGCTGAAAATAAGTAACTTAGGTACGGTATGCTAAGGATGTAGTGGAGGGGAAGGAGAACAACGATGCCGGCTTACGCTGGGTTTGGGCATCCAGTACCTGATTATGATTGAGGAGATAAGCTCTTTCAGCCTACTGAGATTTTATTAGGTATTAGAGCTGCCTAGCAGGTGACAACAAGGACATCGACTGGTCCCAGTAAAGCCATAGTCAGGGCATTGATTGGGTCGTGTGGGAAAATTAGCAATTTGGAAGAGCGTGCAAAGGGCTGAAGAAGAGATCTGAGACCATGTGAAATTCAGAGGTATTGACGAGAAGGAGCTAGATAATTATCGAGGCAACCTTTTTTCGGGAAAATTTCGCGGGGAATCAGCTGAGAAATGCTGAACTAGTGAAGATCAACCCCATCTGATCCTCTGTCGCCAATTCTCCAAAATCGTGGATTCACCGCACCCACAAATTATCAATGCGACTTTAGGCCGCGTTCACACTTCGTGGCTCGAGTCGCGCAACAGCGACTGACTGCGCTCCACCGCTTAACCATTGGCCCGTTGCAAGTGCTTATTTTCACAGTTAGGATAAAAATCTGGACTGCGCACTGACCCAAGGCTTAGTGGTGGTGCGCAATCGGCTGCTGACCATGCGACTGAATCGAGAAAGAGTTGCGAAGTATGAACGCGGCCCTATTTTGGCAAGAGTTAACCATTCAAATGCCGCCACAATAAGCAATCGAAGCCGAATGCTTGGCCCATACCGTAAAGGTCTGTTTTTGCCAAGCGCTTTCTCATTTCTCTTTTCGAATCAACGCACCTTCAGTCCAAGCTGGTCGGCGAACTGCTGGCCCATCATGAAGTTGCAAGCCATGTCCGTGTCTCCGTAATAGAGAAGAACTCGGACATTTGCCTTCACGATCTTCTTGATGAATGGAGCCATATCCCCGTATTGCTTCTGATAGGTGCTGGTCACTTCGTTGCTGTAATTATATGCTTTTAAACGCACTACTTTTCTAAAATGAATCGAGTTCACCTGCAGATGTCCCATTTGGGTAGGTTGGAAGGAATGTTGAGCGCTTGTCGAACTTTAGCATCATTCATGTATACAATCACATCTGTATCATTCAGACATGGAGCATCTCCGTAGAGGGGTTGGTTGGCCTTAAAAGGGAGGTTCTTTCATAGATTAGAGATAGGCTACCCTCCACTTACCCTCAAGAAGCTCATGAGATCAGGGGTCTTCTTCTTGGACATCTCAACGGATTTGTAGCCAGCAGCAACTCCTGAAATGAGGTTGGAAGACTCTAAGATTGTCTGCAAAGTACTAGGTAAGGATTCGTACCCCTGAGCATGTGGCTCATTCTCTCGCCGTTGATCGCTGGATTCGGGTCACAGTCTCTGTACAGATCATATGGATTCAGTCCTCCGGCCCATAGGAACTGGAAGATGTCCTCGACCATTGTGGCACAGTGACCCGTAACCTGAAGCAAGTCTTTGTATAGTATCCAAATAATTGTCAGGACATTTCAGAAGTGGGCACTGCGGAAGGGGGTGACGCCCCTCCCCCTCCCTCAAAAAATCTGTTTGCGAATGTGGTAAATGACTTGTTGTACCGCTCCCTCCCCTTGTATTGCACACTCTGTCGAACTCCTATCAAGTGCTATTCGGAGCTATATCGGGGAAAATGGGCGCTAACAATCACTTCGCGTACGACATTGGAGCAATAAAATGAAGAGAGGATACCTTAGTTCTAATTCACAGGTCAAAAACATACCACGGACACCTTTCGATGTTCACTATTTCACATGCCTAAATGTGGGCATAATGTTCAAT